CATAACAAACAAACCTGTAGCTTGAGAATAATTTACTTTAGATTTTAAGTTTTAGTGTCGAAATGCCTTAAAATTTCTTTTAGAATAAAAAGCTAAATACAAGCTTTACTTACTAATTACCTGTTTACGCTTCCTAATTAGGAAACATTCTTTTTTAGGTATGAATGTAACGAAGAAAATCTCTGTATAAAAACCAACTTTAGACATGGAAATAAGCAGTCAGTTTCAAATATCGGAATGAGAAGAAATTCTCAGCCAATCATAGCTCTTGAACGTAATCGCAGCTTCTGTTTTAATGACCAATAGAAGCAACTGAAATAAGTCTCCTTTAATTATGAACAGCTGGACTTTTAACTGAAAGTACGAGAAGGTATTGCTTGCTTGTAAACAGTGATTAAGAAAAATAAAAAGGTCACCCAGATATAATCAAAGATAAAGGTTGGATGTGTTACAATTTGAAGTTTTAAAATAATTTAACAAATATAGGTTTTTGCTTATTAATTCGTATTTTCCAAACAATTTCAGATGGACGTCGTATGCACCGAGAGTTGGAAACCTACCTTAGCCACTTCTCTTTTCTACGCAGGTAGCTTATTTGGAAACATATTGTTTGGATACATCGCAGACAAGTAAGTGTTGTCTTTCAAAAGATATAAACGTAGAAGAAAAGTAAGGATCCACTTTTAACTCTCAACATTTTGGACACCAAGAATACGTGTAAATTAGCTACGAAGAACTATAATAAAAATTATGTTTCATCTTCATTTCCTGAGCAAATAATACCTTCAGGTGAATCAAAAATCATCTCGTCACAAACTTACCAAACTATACAAGTTCAAACAGCCTTCTACGTATGCAAGGTGTGGCCAAGTGGTTATCATGCCGATTTATGGATCCGATAATCCAAGGTTCGCGTCCCATTGCCATAAGATACCGCTCCGCATTATGGAGCTGTGGGTGTGTTATAACTTTCACCTTAAAATTCCACTATTCGCTTGGAGTAGCATAAGATATGGCAGTGGGTGCTGTTCACTAGCTGCTTTCCCTCTGCTTTGTCAGTTCAAAAATTAGGGACGACTAGTACATATAACCCTAAAAGTAGGACGTGCACCAGACAGTTATTTGTTTCTGTAGTGGGATCAAGCGGATCTATTTTGACATACAGTAATAAGATTAGCTCGTGTACATAACAGTTAGATATATTTGTTTCTGTAGTGGGATAAAGTGGGTCTGTTTTTACATACAGTAATAAGATTAGCTCGTGTACATAACAGTTAGATATATTTGTTTCTGTAGTGGGATAAAGTGGGTCTGTTTTGACATACAGTAATAAGATTAGCTCGTGTACATAACAGTTAGATATATTTGTTTCTGTAGTGGGATAAAGTGGGTCTGTTTTACATACAGTAATAAGATTAGCTCGTGTACATAACAGTTAGATATATTTGTTTCTGTAGTGGGATCAAGTGGATCTGTTTTTACATACAGTAATAAGATTAGCTCGTGTACATAACAGTTAGATATATTTGTTTCTGTAGTGGGATAAAGTGGACCTGTTTTTACATACAGTAATAAAGTTAGAACTTGTTCCTAACGGTTCTTAATAAGTAGCGTAACTCCCTACTAAGGGGGGATAAAACGCACCCGGAAATTCACCCAGACATCATGAAGGTCTAAAAGTAGGTTTTAACGGTCGCTAAACCCGAACGTGTTATCATATTTTGTATTCTTGCCCCCCTCCCTCGGGATCCCGGGGGTGCTATGTTTGAAACTGTCTTCATACTTTCCTATTCACAAGATAGCGAAACCAAACTCAGTACCACCAGGGGATGTCTTAACGGTATTTTCGGTCGCTATTCTCTCTCTGGGTTATCTAGAGAAATAATTGGGGATGATGGGGGAGATTTATCCATGCACTGAGGCCTCTTTCAATTATGAATTGGGGCTTTGAACCCCCACAACGGAGCGCGGGTATTTTATGCTTATACTTATAAAGTATACATGTGATTATATGCGAGGGTGTTTATTTGACTTTCTTTGCTAGCTCATATTAAACTTATCTTTATGGGGACCTCTTCCCCCTCACCCAGCTCAGTTTTGCAAAGAATCGTATTTTTTAGTCACATTAGTGTTTGTGTTAAACCGTAAATGATAATGTTGTCCTGTAAGAGTTAGCGATCCTTTCAGGAAAGTATAAAATGTTCATAAAACTGACGGAAAGAGCCAAGTGTGCGCACGAATCCTATCCGTCTGACGTATCAATTAAAGTTTGCGCACGGACGCTATCCGTCTGACGTATCAATTATCTTTGGCTTATCAGAGAGGTTACTCAACTGATGAATAAATACATTACAATCTTTATGAGTTTATAGCTTTATGACAATGCGTAATAAGAATCGTTATATTATGTTAGTTATGCATTATTTGCTAAATTAATTTTATTTCTAGCCTTTGAAGTCAGTTTGCCTGCTTTGATCGGGTGTGGCCAATCTTTAAAGCTTAAAGCTCAGAAGAAATAAAATCCAACAGATAAGTGAGCAGTAAGTAGTCGACAGTAATAACGTTATCGGTGTGATAAGCTTCAACTTTAGTATCACCAGTATGCAGCGGTTAAATAGTGAACTGATTTTCGAAGAAAGCTGCTATATTACGATACATTTATATAAATAAATAAATAAACCAGCTAAAATAATCCTCGTTATCCAGAAATTAGGAATATTTAGAGAGCCAATATGCAGCCACAAAGTCGCATGCTAGGTGCTGATTGGTCAGCAGTAAATGCATCGTTTCTGTCTTACGACCACTTCTAACTAAACAGAAAGTAATATAAGTTTATAGATAAGCCTTAGTCCGCGGTAATGTTAAATATATTTAACCTCACAGTTGGTAAACGTACTATGCGAATGGACAGTTGAATAATGATCAAATTTAGTTTCAACATGATTTTAAAGACTCTACTCATTCACTAGAAAAAAACTTCCAAAATTATCTTGTTATGTATGAGTTAAATGAAGAGTTCGTTTTACAGATTTGGAAGAAAAATATCGTTTTTGGCCATAGTTGTCACCAATGTCTTGTTGGGAATTATCGCCGCTTTTCCGTCCAACTACACTGCGTACATCGTCTACCGGACTTTGATAGGATTCACATTTCCTTCTATATTTCAGATTCCCTTTATAATGGGTAAGTTTATCTCGTTCCATGTTCTTTCTATTACTGTGTTCATAGTTTAGTTAAGTATCACAACACAAAGTCAGTCGGCGGGATCTATGGATTTACAACACTAATCAGGGGTTCGATTCCCTTCCGTAGACACAGCAGATATCCCGCTATAGAACACATACATTCAACCCAATTTATTTTATTTTAATCTTATATTTCTACCCCTTCAGATCTGTTGCTTTAAGCTATTTTGTTACTTTTATTTTATCTTTTTTCAAAAATATCTCTGTACCTCTTAATTTTTTTATCAATATTTCTTGATTTCCCATTTTTTATCACCCAATGTATCTTATTTTGTTACTTTACTATCAAAAAAGGGTGTCGTTCGTGTAATGTCATAAGTTGTGTTTTAAACCTGTCTTCAGTAATTATTTGATTTTAATTTCAGGATTTGTCTATATAATGTTTTTTCCTGTTTATATGCGTAATAGCTTAGTGGTAGGCTTGAGAACTTATAACGTTAAAATTATTGATTCGATCGTCGTGGCGGGCACAGCACAGATAGCCGATTATGTAGCTCTGTGTTAGTAAAAACAAACAAGTGTATATAGTAACTAACATCTGTATAATTTTTATACGTTTAGAAGACGTGTCTAAATCATTAACGAGAACGTCGAAGTAAAAGTAAATAAGTATGTACAATGATACGTCAACCACACTATATATATGCTATATCCAGTGCCGACGAGGCATTTCGTCCAATACCAATTCGTCGGCTGGAATATGACAGACATAGTAGTGGTTGAGACATTATTTGTAAGTCACTAGCTGATTCACTCCTTCAACTCCCGAAGAAGACATAGAGGCCTCCAGGTGATATAGAGAGAGTGAGATCCGAAAGGTGATCCCCTCCCCCTATGTTACTCCTCGGGGGGCCTTAAGGGTACATGCAGGTTGGGTGACAATCGGTCCAGCGGTTCACCAGTTGTTTGTTTTTGTGTGTATATATATATATATAATGTCGTTGCTAACATTAATATTGTAAATAATTTTGGAATCATTTATCAATAATAATGCGATTTCATTTTCTTTATACTTAATAGAACCAGCTATTACTTCTAATATTATTTTACTTTGACTCAAATTTCAATAATTATATAATTGATCTTGGAGTCAGCTATAAAGAATGCGGTCTTATTTAGTTCTAACTGTTCTTTGTGGTACAATTATGTACATTTATTTTCATTTAATAATAATAATGTCATTGTTTTTGGAGTTAAATAAAAAGAAAACCGTTGTTTTTGTATTTAATCGTTAATAGCAGTGTGATTCTGTAACACTTATTTCAGTTATTGATAATAATGTAACAATTTTTGGAGCCACTTACTAATACCTTGTTAATTTAAAACAGTTACTGACAGTGACATTATTCATGTGTAAAATATTACGTTACAGACATTTTTAATTGATGCATTTTTATTTATTTCACGGAATGTAAGAATAATACTTCTAGTGTATTTTTATAATGAAACTGTCTTCTATAATAACCACATTCACGGTTTTAATTAATCCAGGCTTATGGTTCTTCAGGGTTGGAACTGATGAGCCCAGACAAGAGGACTTTCAGTGGGATAGTAGTCTGTGTGTTTTTCGCCTCGGCCATGGCTTTACTCGCAGGAATTGCGGCCGCCGTTAGGGAATGGTTTAAATTATCGTTAATCACATCTGTACCATTTATATTCCTAGTAGCCTATTGGTGGTGAGTTGTGTTCACGCTATCCTACTCTATCTGTCTTCTGTGAATCGTTGGTCGCGCGTTTTTTTTCTTCTTCTTCTTTTTTTTTAAATATTAGTTAATCTTTTCGGTGAAACTATCGCCTATTATTTATTTCCTCTTTCACAGTGACCTCTTGTGGTACTATTTCCTTGAAGAACGTTAGTGTTATTTTATTACTCATCAACTCCTTGATGTAAATTTAAAAAAATGTACACATTCTTTAAATAACTAAACTTTTAAATATGTCGAAGCTTAAATAATTCTGATAGGAGAAAAAAACCTTCCATGAAATAACGCCCGAAAATTCACGTTATTCACATATAATCCTTATATATATATATATATATAGTACTTAGTTAGAAATACTTAATCAGTCCGAAGGTCATTGAGCATTGGATTTTTACCTTACGTATCTTTCCAATTTTCCTTTGAGGTGGCAGCACTTTGATTTTATAAATCTGAAAGCTAAATAGGGTGTGGCTACGAGTTAATTATTGTAACATACAAACATACTGTTTTAAGAAATGTTTTATAAAATAATATATGTTACACGCGAGTTCATTTTCAGAGTAAAACTCAAAAATAATATTTTTCAACTTATTGCTTTATGAGTAAATTAGATTTATTGTTTTTAGTTCATTAAAGTTCATTTAGTTCATATTTATGTAATTTGCGATATCGGTAAACTAATTTTTTGTTTTAATTTATGCATTATTTTCTTCATCACCATAAACAGGATTATACCAGAGTCACCTCGTTGGTTGCTTAGCAACAACAGGATCGACGACGCTGAAGTAATTATTCAAAAAATTGCCAAAGTTAATAAGAAGGAAATACCTCCTAATTTTATCAGGACGTTTCTTGTAAGCATTTTCCCCTTTCATTATTATATATCTAAAAAATTCTGGGCTTTAAGGGAAACTATGTTTACAATTTTGATGTGGTGAAATATTTAGTAAAATATAGTTGGATAATTAATTCCTAAAAACTTAGAAGCAACAAAAAAGAAATATGCAGCTATAACATTTCAATATATTTAAAAATATAAAAAATTTAAAAATTGTGTGACAAATGACGTTGTCTAGCACGCTGTCGAGCTTTTCTGGGTTTTTCTCAACTAAAAATATCTCTATGTACCCCTGCATAACGTTGTACTTTTTTTTTCTAAGTTCCGACGAGCCCGCCAGTGGCACAGCGGCATGTATATGGACTTACAACGCTAGAAACCGGGTTTCGATACCTGTGGTGGGCAGAGCACAGATAGCCCATTGTATAGCTTTGTGCTTAATTTCAAACAAACAAACAAGCTCCGACGACAATTTTTAGACCTAAAAGTAGGCTACACTTTTTCTCACGTTTCCTGTACTCCGTGTATTTTTTCCCTTCTTTATTCCAAGAGAGGCAACGAAATACTGTAGTCTAGATTGAGTATATGGGCTATATTGCTGAAACATTTGAAGCTATAAAGTCTAACACTGAAAAGGCTAAGAACAGGTATGATACAGCAAAAGTACTCTAAGTCAACACCAATAATTCTAAAAACTTACGAGTGACAGTAAAGAAGAATGTTAACAATATGTAAGATAGAGAACACAGACAGTATTGCTGAAAAATCTCAGCTACAAAGAGCAAAAGTGATAGGTAAGACTAGGGGTAAACAAGATGCAATTAAACCACCCAAGATGCAAGTCTTACTCCAAAAAGACTGCAAGTTTTAGACAATATTCCTGGAACGTTCTAGGTCACAATGAACAACAATGATAAGACTGAGGACATGGCCTCGACATAATGAAATAAAAAAGTAATGATGGTTGACTTTTGTTCATTATCCCATGAAAACTAGTAACTTTAAACCGTGTTAAACAGAAAAATATATATCTAACAGTACGTTTCCTGCTATAAAAGATGTGGGGGATACTTCGTGTATCAGATGTAACCTCCATTTCAAAGGCTCACTTGTGAAAGAACGTTTGTATTAAATGATAAAATACGAGCAGATGTCGTTTCC